AAAAAATATAAGAGATTTAGATAATAAGGCATTGAAGATGTGATATGGAAAAATTCATATGTTGGGTAAAGGTAAAGGTTCACCTTGACAATTTTGTCCAGTCATGTCCAACTCCAGAGGGTGCGGCTAATCCCCGTTTCCAAGCCATAGAGCCAGCATTTGTCCGAAAACAACCTTCCGTGGTCACATGGCCAGTGGAACTTAGACACGGAATGCTGTTACCTTCCCACCGAGGTGGTTCCTACTTATCTACTCGCATTTGCATGTTTTCGAACCACTAGATTGGCGGGAACTGGGACAAGCGACAGGCACTCACTCCGTCATGTGGATTTGATCTTACAGCTGAAGATCTACAGACCTTACAGCACAGAGGCTTCTGCAGTTTAACCTGCAGCGCCACCATGCCACATACATTGGGTAGAAGTACAGTACCTAAATTCAAAAGAGAGTAAAGAATCATGAGCAGCCATTTTTGTGAGAATGAAATCAGCAAAATGATTAAGGGGCATGAATGTCTGAGGAATAGGAATATACAAAGCAACAACAACCTCGATCAGGCTAGAGGTGAAGTAGAACTTCTGAGTGGCAGAGCCATAGTCAAAATTAGTGACAAGTATGTTGCTAGAATTTTGGGTGGACAGATGGAACTAAGATGAGTTATGGATTGTAGCAAAATTAATGAATATACTAAGAATCAGTGCTTAGACTAATGATCCCTGAGTACAGTTGAAAACAACCAGAATGCATTGTGCTGTGGCCTTACTTAATCTGGTAAATGAAACCGAGGCAAAAGTAAGGAGAGTCAGATGTGACACGGGACTTGGGTTTGCAGCAACAGAATAAATGGGAATGCTATCAATGTAGGTTGGGTTTGGATTAGAATTTTCCAGAAATCCTGACTAGCTTCTGGAAGTTTTAGTCCAAGAACATTTGGAGACTGAAGTTGGGAACCATTTCTAGAGATTTTGGTGGTTTGTACAGTGAAGTTCACCTCTTTCATCTAAGATAACTATCCACAATTGATTTTATTGACATTTTGTGAAGTAACGTTTGTGCAATCTTTGAGAAATAGTTGTAGCTTAATGTAAAAGTTTAGACATAACAACTAATTTAGACATAACTTTCCATTTACTAAAAGGCAGAGATGTTTTGAACAAGATGATATACACTAACAGTACAGAAAAGAAATTGCATTTTTCTCATCTGATTGAACCACAGTATAGTTTAACAGGAAAACTTGTGAAGAATAAGAGATAAATCTGTTTTTATTCAGTAAAATGAAATTGTTTTGCTGCAGTGGAATCTTCTTAAAATGCAAGGCATTTGGTATTTACTTAAGCTATATAGCAATAATAAGGGTTTGAACCGTTTCTGAGGCTGAAAAAGTTGCTTAGCATAGTAAATTGCAACTAAAATACATCCATTTGCATCAGTGGAACTTATGGAGGAGTTGACTTTCCAAATCCCCACTTTTTCAGTGGTCCTTCTCTAGTGCAACTAAGTAGTATAGGTAGCAGGATTTCAGCAAAGAAAAATATCTCTTTTCACTTGTGTAGTGTGAATATCATAATTCTGAAACTTTTTTTAAATCTTTCACAGAATAACAGCTATCCATCAATGACAGATCCCTACTTGTCCAGTTACTATCCACCTTCTATTGGCTTTCCTTATTCCCTGAGTGAAGCACCTTGGTCAACTGGTGGAGACCCTCCTATCCCATACCTCACAACCTATGGACAGCTTAGTAATGGTGATCATCATTTCATGCATGATGCTGTTTTTGGACAGCCTGGTGGACTGGGGAACAACATTTATCCACACAGATTTAATTTCTTCCCAGAAAATCCACCTTTCTCAGCATGGGGAACAAGTGGGTCCCAAGGACAGCAAACTCAAAACTCGGCTTATGGAAGCAGCTACAGCTATCCTCCCAGCTCTCTGGGAGGTACTATTGTGGATGGGCAAACCGGATTTCATAACGATACTTTAAATAAAGCTCCAGGAATGAACAGCATTGAACAGGGAATGGTTGGACTGAAAATTGGTGGGGATGTCACAGCTTCTGCGGTGAAGGCGGTAGGTTCTGTGGTGAACAGTGCTGGAATGACAGGTGCTTTGTCTGGCAATGGTGGATCAAGTATTAGTTTACCAGTATCAAAACCAACATCTTGGGCTGCCATTGCTAGCAAACCTGCAAAACCTCAGCCCAAGATGAAAACAAAAAGCGGGCCTGTAGTAGGTGGGGCTTTGCCTCCACCGCCTATTAAACACAACATGGACATAGGTACTTGGGATAATAAGGGCCCAGTGGCCAAGGTTCCAACTCCCCAACAGATCCCTTCTCCTCAATCAGTCCCGCAGCCACAAATTATTCAGCCTCTTCCTGCCCAGCCGCCTCCCCTGACGCAGCTGCCATATCAGAACCCTCAGCCGCCACCACCACCGCCTCAAAACCGGTGGGTGGCCCCACGTAACAGAAATGCAGCATTTGGCCAAAGTGGAGGAACTAGTCATGAGAACAACTCGCCTGGCACTACCCCGGCTAACTCCATCCCAGCAGGGGAATCCCACCCTGTTCTTGAAAAACTGAAAGCTGCTCACAGTTACAACCCTAAGGATTTTGAGTGGAACCTCAAACATGGACGTGTGTTCATAATAAAAAGCTATTCGGAGGACGATATTCATCGTTCTATTAAGTACTCCATTTGGTGTAGCACAGAACATGGCAACAAGCGTTTGGACAGTGCTTTCCGCTCTATGAATAGTAAGGGTCCAGTCTACTTACTATTCAGTGTTAATGGTAGCGGACATTTTTGTGGCGTGGCAGAAATGAAGTCATCGGTGGACTATGGCACCAGTGCAGGTGTCTGGTCTCAGGACAAATGGAAGGGAAAGTTTGACGTCAAGTGGATCTTTGTGAAAGATGTGCCCAATAACCAACTGCGACACATCCGGCTGGAGAACAATGACAACAAACCAGTTACAAACTCCCGTGATACTCAGGAGGTGCCCTTAGAAAAAGCAAAACAAGTGCTTAAAATTATTGCTACATACAAGCACACGACCTCCATCTTTGATGACTTTTCTCATTATGAAAAGCGCCAGGAGGAAGAAGAGGTTGTGCGGAAGGTAAGCTGACTTTTGAATGTTTTATTAAATGGGGAACCCAGGGTAGACTTATGGTTTGGAAACTGTTACTGAACAATGCATTTTTCACTGGACTTGATTGAGCTTTGTAGGATTATTGTACAGATAGTTCCCCAGGAAGTACAGCTATCATTCAGTTTCCCTAATATGGACTGTTGTTTCATAGAATCATTTTTGTAGAAACTCTGTGTGTTGACATCAGCTCTATTTCAGCTGCCAGTCAATAGGTGTGACTTATTTACATGTTTAGTTACTTAGGCATCCTTCAGTCTCGAAAGACTATGGTAGTGTGCTCTGTATGGAGGGCTTGGAACAGCGCCTAGTGTGGCTGAGAAAGCCAATTCGAGAGTGACAGTCCCTTCCACACTGAAGACAAATCCAGTTTGTCCCCTGTCCGGCTCCCTGGTTTTGCTGCTTTTGTGACTTCCTCTTTGCCTCGGCCTGCTGGGCAATGGTCTCTTCAAATTGGGAGAGGCCGTGATGCACCGCCTGCCTCCAGGCTGAACGCTCAGATGTCAGGGTTTCCCATCTGTTGAGGTCTAGGTGACTTATTTACATGTTTAGATTTCTCTTAAATTGGCCTGACACTGATACAGCTGGCTGCTCTAATCTATTTTACTGTGGTTTTATTGTTTTTAACTCTTTGCTAGCTACTCAGAATCTTTTGGCTGAAAAGAAGGATAGGAACAATCCCCAAACAAGCAAGGTCATATTAAGATAATGAAGAGAACTTTGGTCCCATCCTCCAAATGCTGTATTATGGCAACCCTGTTTTGAAGTGGAAAGGTATTCTCAAAATTAGTTGGCGGGACAGCCGAAGGAGTACCAAGCCCCATGAGTTTGCCAAAAGTACCATTTTGGACCACAGATCGCCAATACCTTTTAAAGCAGTCAGGTAAATCAGCTTTCTGTGCTGTGTGCCAATGCATACTTGCACTCAAACATGCTCAATGTACGTTTCAATATCAAAGAAGAAACCCTTTAATCACATGCCAAAATTGTGAATTATCTTGATTCCACTTTATTGCTTCAAGAGCAGAAGATGCAGCACAGAAAAACATCAAAGCCTGGAAGCAGTAGTGATCTTAAAACCTATCTTATTTTTCCGTGTATAAGACACCCCCATGTATAAGACGCTCCCCACTTTTCTGATCCAAAATTAAGAAAAATAAGTGGGGCTTAGCAAGTGTAGGGGGAAAGGGATAAGAGCCCTGCAGGATTACTTTGACCCCTGCTTTTCCCTCCACTTGTTTTTGTTCTCTTCTCAGCTTACTTTCGTGTATAAGACAAGCCTCAATTTTTAGTCTACAGATTTTAGACAAAAGTATAGTCTTATACACAGAAAAATATGGTATTCCTTCTCTGGACTTTGTCCCAAGGATCTTGTTTTTTCACTGTATCAGTTACTAATGTGCTGTTGTTTAAGCATCAGCCTAAGTCCATATTTTAAAAATATTCAGATGTACTTAACTGTGACATACCACTTCATGGGAGTATTCTCAAAGCACTACTGATAAAATCAAAACCCTTAAACCGTCAATAATACCTTAATATTAAATATGGTACATTGTGCCCCTGTTATAACACTGAATAAGATAATGTTTCATTAATTTATCACACTGTCATGTCTTTCTCCTTTCCTGAAATTGTTCAGAAAACGTATAACAAAACTGCATGCTAAAGGCTTTTGCTAGGACAATTCAAGGAATAGGGAATGTTGAATGGGAAACCAAGTGAATAGAACCTTTTATTGTGAGTCAGTCCATCAGCAGTTTGTCTCAATGTATCCCTGTTTTTGCTACATAGTAATAAGTTTGAATCTAGCGGTTCGAAAGCATGCAAATGCAAGTAGATAAATAGGGACCACCTCGGTGGGAAGGTAACAGCGTTCCGTGTCTAAGTCGCACTGGCCATGTGACCACGGAAGATTGTCTTTGGAAAAAACGCTGGCTCTATGGCTTGGAAACGGGGATGAGCACCGTCCCCTAGAGTCAAACATGACTGGACAAAAATTGTCAAGGGGAACCTTTACCTTTACCTTAATAAGTTTGAATGCATACCAGAATCAAAATACCTAATATCAAAATACCTAGTATCAAAATACTGTACAGTGGTGCCTCGCATTACGATGTAAATTCATTCCAGCGAAATTGCTGTAGAACGAAAACATCGTAATGCGAAAAGAACAAACCCATTGAAATGCATTAAATCCCATTTAATGCATTCCAAAGGGCTGTAAACTCTCTGTCCACTGAAGATCCTCCATAGGGCGGCCATTTTCGCTGCCTGTGCAGCGAGGAATCTGTCCCAGAAAACAGCGGGGGGCCATTTTGAAACCGCCGATCAGCTGTTGGTAAATCGTCGTTTTGCGAAGAATCGGTTCCCAAAACAAGGAACCGATCATCGCAAAGCGAAATTCCCCCATAGGAAACATCATTTTGCGATCGCAAAAAGTTCGTTGTAGTGCGGTTTTGTCGTTAAATGGGGCAATCATAAAGCGAGGCACCACTGTACCTATTTCCATGAGCGCTATGAGGAGCAACCTGGCAGAATGGGAAAAAGAGAGGGTGTTGTTTTTCTTTCAGCTTCTCTTTATGTGCCTCCCTGTACTTTGATGGGAGAACCTTATTGTTGTTATTGGTAATGTGTTTGAGGAATGTTATGAATTTGGGAATAGTAGTGGCCTGATTTTCTCCTCCAGCCTCTTCCCTGAAAAAAAGGAAAAGTAGGAAGTTTTCAATTGTCTAAGTTCCAGAAGCATCAAGTGAAGTCCAGAACATATGACCTTGTCACCTTGGTTTGGAGTTTTTAAGTACTACTTTTAAGTTACAAATGGCCAGAATCCTGTTGCATATTTCTGCCAGTGTAATGCCAGCAGTGTAACTTGCAGTGGCAAATTGAGTCAGTAGGCATTTCCTACATACTTACGTTTTACCTATGCAACTGGTGTGAAAATGGAAATGCCATAATTTATGGTTTATGCCATAATTTATTGTAGTTCACTACTGAAAGTGATGTTGCTGGCATTCTGCCAGCAGTTGTGACTAACAGGATTTCAGCCAATAGCTATCTTCATATCGAGAAATAGTCATGAGTGTAGAGTCCTTATTGAGATGGTCTTGTTCTGCTTTGGCCTGATAAGTACAGAGCAACCTTTTCATGTAGAAAGAAAAACTATTACAGCTGGTTGTTTAAAGTTATCATGTGTCATAAGAACAAAACCCAGGTTAAGTTCCTTTAATGAAGAAATTCGGTTTTGTCCTGGGAAAGCTACTAAATGTGTACATCTATATCTACAACAAAACTTTTGAAATATGCAAAAATTATATGCCCCATTGCTGATTAGATGTTTTTCTCTTTACAGGAACGTCAGAATCGAAATAAACAATAAGAATAAACATATGTATGGTTTGCTATAAATATATATAAATATTATATATATATATATATATACTAGAACTGATATTAAATTTGATTATGAAAAAAATAAATCTTTTTAAAAAGCGCTCTGGTGCTGTATTTTGGCATCGGGAGACTGTAAACCCTTTCAGTTCCCATATTTTTCTTGTGCAGGAGAAATTAAATTCTTGTATCTTTTAAGTACATTGTATTGTGTTCATGGTTTGTTTTTTTTAAAGGTTTTTTTTTGGTCCCAGATGAATATGCATTAAAGTGAATATTTCCTATGCTATAGAACCCATGAATAAATACGTTTCCTTTTTTAAAAAAAAAAAATTGGTTAAACAAACTTGTCTGGAATGGAAGATTCTAAAAATATTAGTATTTCCCAAAGACTTTTGACTTCAGTACGAATTATGTTTCCAGTCTAAACATTTGCTATAATTTTATATTTATGTACTACAGATTGTTTTTATCCCCTTCTCCCCCTGATTGTCTTAATTCTTCCTGGCAAACAAAAGTTTCTGAAATATTTTAGTTGTTTTAAGCTTCTTTGGAGAAATGATCTGTGTTGAAAGCATTGACCTCAGCCCAGCAGGTTCTGAACTCTTTTTAATTTGCTTCTTAATTGTTTTTGGAAAAAAAATAATAAAGGAAACCAAAGGGGCATAATTCAGAAGGATAACTTGACATGCAAGCGGTGTGTGAATTTGCTCATGGCATATTGTGCAAACGCACTTCTGGGCTTGTGTCATTTATATCTACTTTCAGTGAGGCTTGCATGATAATTTTTCCTCTTGGGTTATTCCTTACGGCATAAAATAGCTTTTCATTAATACTTGGTGAAGCAGTGCCCTTTAGTGCAACAAAAAGTGAGAAATCATCTCTCTGCCATCATTTTCTTCTTATGTGGTAGTCTTTAATGATTTAACTAATGTTTTTGACAGTGTAGGGGCTTGGGACAATGTGGCTTTTAATTTTTTTTCCAGTTTTCTAATACCCATTAAATATATATTTTAATCTATCCCCTTTTTCGTTTTCACTCACCCTTTAAAAATGCCACTTCAGTTTTTGTACTGATAATGGTGAGCTTTAATATAGAATCTTAGTACAGACTCATATGATGGATTATGCTTCAGATGTTTAAAATTGACTGTGTGTGTGTGTGTGTGTGTGTGTGTATTTTTTTTCCTGTTGGATGAGTAAAAACAAATGTTCTGAGAAATGGAATTTTCTGTCAGGTTTTTGTGGAATGAGGGAGCTGTCGAAGAACTGGCCATCAACTGGAGTTTCAAATTTTAGCATGAATACTTGGTGCTCGTGCCTGTTGCTCTAGCACACTGAATCTGCACGTGTTTTATTGTAGAGAATCTTTTACTTATTCTAGAAAGCAAATCTCTTCTGAAAACTATTTACTCAAGAGGATCTCTGACTTAAATGAAAGTTTAAGCTGTATCATTTAGACTTGTATTTAGAACATATAGCTTTGTCTCTGGACTGTTACTTCTGGTGTAAGGAGTAACAGGACAGCATCAGATTAACTTTTTCCTTTAGGAGAATACAAGCCTTAATAAATAATATCTACTTAGCAAGTGTGATGTCATTTCATTTTTCCCCATCTTGGCCCTCCGCCAGTGTGCACTCTTGCGTCTCTGCACCAAACAGATGCTGGGGACAGAACATGATGATTGGGGAGGGCCTCATTCTTAAGACCACTCTGAGGGCTTGACGACTGCTTCCTTAACAATACAACTGGGTCGGTGTGCTTTCCTAGGTATTATAACAGCAGAGGAACTGGAATTTAATGTAAACTTAGGAGGTAATTCTTACTTCCTGTACCACTCTTGAGTGAACTGAGAGCAAAAAAGAGCTTTACTCTGCCATCCTGTTATGCTGTGATCCACTGAATAGGTTCGGTATGTGGAAGGCTTGTGCACATGTTGAAAATACTGGTGGCACACATGGGAAAAGGTAGTGTAGGTGGCATAGAAATTTGTCTGCTCCAAAACGTTATATAACCTAAAGATGATCTCACTTGAACCTATACCTTTTCCCCATCAAGACTGAAACAAGGGGCATTGCATAGTGTTGGTGAAGATTCTTTTAGAACTTTTATGTTTAATTAACAAAAGCTCAATGTTCTTTTGAATGTGTGTAAAAATTCCCTGTTAGAGTGATATAGTGCAGTGTTCATTTTTGTTTGTGCCTTTAACTATCAGTTGAACTATTAATATTGCTACCTTTAATTAATGCTAGTCAGACCAATCCCAGTGGTGAAGGAAAAGCCATAATAGCTAGGAACGAAGAGTCCACTTTTTTGAAGTGGGATGTTTATAAGCCTGTAGACATTCTTTTATTAAGATTTTCATTGACAATCTTAAGCTTTAATTAGTTTATTTAATTTATATACCACTCATCTAACCAGAGGCCACCCTTGCCTTTACAACAAAAGGCAAAACAATAAACAAACCATCTAGCCATAAAACATCAACACTAGTATAAAAACAAATAGAATAAATAACAGTAATAATATGAAAAGGCAGAGGAACTTTTGCAGGAAAACAGATTGTTGGAGAGTAGATTGATAGTTTGATTGCTGTGGAGGCCTTGATTTTCACTTTGTTCCATGAGTAGTATGCATACTACCAGTTGTGAACCACTCACTGGTTTAGTGAATCAGTGAGGGGGATGATGGTTGGGGCTTTCTCCCTTTCATTGAGGATGCCTCTAGTCAGGAATGTCCATCTGCGGAGAGGAACGTTCACACAGTCTTACAGGCAATGAGATGTTCTCCCAGGAACTGAAGGGTTGCCGCTTTTCTTAATGAATCATCTAGTTGACCTAGCACTGTTTATTGATCCATAATTTTAGGATTTGATTTCAAAAGATATGCTGTTTCTTTTTTTCCCTTCCCTCTTCCTCTTGACCCTGTGTTCAAAAGCCTTCCCCCAAGTGCCCAATATTCAGTGGCATGCATTCATTTTTGGTATAGTGTCAACAGGATTGTAAAGACCATTTCTGGGCTTCACCATTTAAAGCCACAGGTAGAGCTTCATGTGCATGCATGTTCTGTTGAAAAATAAAGATTTTTCCCAACAGCGAACTGTTGTGTCAGAAGGGGTCTAAGCTAGGTCTTCCATGCTACCTTGTATATGATTTTCTCTGTGTGTTTACGGAAGCTTTGTGTGTTCGTTCATGAATCACACCCGCAAAGCATTTCACAGGCAAAAAGAATGCGGTTAATCTTGGTACCCACATAATAGCTGCAAAAACGAGACAACAGATTTCCCACACCCTTTCCAAGAATTTTGAGTGCAGCAGCTGTTGCCCTAAAGGTCGAGTATTTCTAGTGAAATGGCTACAGAAGAACCTGTTAATGGCTTTAGGCATAAATGTATAGTGGGTGGGAATGCATGTGAAGCAATTACAAGAATATAAACAATGCTACTTATGTCTTTGCCTGTTGTGCGCTTTTAATCTTAACCTTAGAACTGCAGAGCTGAAAGGGACCTTATGGAAAGTCTAGCCCCTGTCAAGGAGGCACAGTGGGGAATTGAAAGCCCAACCTCTGGCTCCACAGTCTGAGGTCTAAACCACTGAGCTGTCCAGCTATTCTTAAATTTAATTATAAACAAAAAGGCAAAGGTTCCACCCCTTGTGAAAGTATAAGATGTGCCGTTAACGAGTCCTGGAGAGACTTCTGGTTTGGGGTTGTCCTTGCTATGTCTCCAGTTATTCTTGCATATAATTTGGCCCCCTTTTAAAACCTTCCATTTGTCAGTCATTTCGGGGGGCTGGTCTTGCATGTGCAAGGGCTGCTGGGCCAGCAATTTGAGCTTACCAATAACTGAACTGAAATGCAACACTGAATTTCACTGTTGTTGTTTAGTCATTAAGTCGTATCCGACTCTTCGTGACCCCATGGACCAGAGGACGCCAGGCCCTCCTGTCTTCCACTTTCTCCTGGTGTTGGGTCAAATTCATATTGGTCGCTTCGGTGACACTGTCCAACCATATCGTCCTCTGTCGTCTCCTCCTCTTGCCTTCACACTTTCCCAACATCAGGGTCTTTTCCAGGGAGTCTTCTATTCTCATGAGATGGCCAAAGTACTGGAGCCTCAGCTTCAGGATCTGTCCTTTCAGTGAGCACTCAGGGTTGATTTCCTTCAAAATGGATATATTTGTTCTCTGCAGTCCTGGGTACTCTCAAGAGTCTCCTCCAGCACCACAATTCAAAAGCATCAATTTCTCTGTCTATACTTCATATACAAGGTTACCGCTTGCCCTCCGTAGCTTTTACAGTAATCTAGCTTATAAACTTTATTCCGTTCATTTAACAGAGCAAAACAGTGGAGTGTTGAACATTTGCAATAGTTTCAGTATTCAGGTAGTGAAGTTTTAAAATTAATTTTGAAATGCTGATGAAATATACAGCCTCTGGCCAGCTGCCGGGTGGCCTGCTTAGGTTTTATTATGCTGCTTGCTCCCTTGACATTAGCATCAATTGCAGCATTTGGCAACTGCCTAAAATTACCAGTTAGTGTGAAAATCCTTAAAATAACGTGGTCCCATTTCAGTGGGACTTTCAGCTGGAATATGGCAATGGAATCACTTTGGTCATCTTGGTAGATTACCTACTCCGGGAACTGAACGAGAGAAGCAAAACCCTTCTCCTGGACCTATTAGCAGCATGTAGTATCTGTGGAATTGAGCAAGGTATCCTGTTGAGCCGCTTACCTAGGTTGGGTATTGGGAGCACTATATTGCTGTGGTTTTGATCCTTCTTATGATGATGCACACAGAAGGCGATGTTGGGGGGAAAACTGTTGGCATTTGGCACCCCCCCTGACTCAACTCCCTTGTTTAATTACCTTGCTTAACATCTGTGCTAAGATGCTGGCAGAAGTTATTCAGAGGTTTTGAGTGAGGTGCCACCAGTAAGCTGATGACATTCAGCTCTACTGCTCCTTGTTGACCAACACTGAGGAACGTTGTCTGAATTCCGTTATGGTCTGGATGAAGGGAGACCAAGCTAAGATGAAATCTAGAAAAGTCGAAGATGCTGCCAGTCAGTAGAAAGTCAAATTTGGCAACTTTGGATCAAGCCTGTTCTATAAGGGGTTGCACTTCCCAACAGGCCCGGTTCGTAATCTGGGAGTGCTTCTTGACTCCACATTCTTTAGATTTCAGGATGACAGCAGTGGAGTGCCTTTGCACAACTCTGCTTAAACGCCTCTGCTCAGACCTTTCCTGAGTGGATATGACCCAGCAACATTCACCTAGGCCTTAGGTACATCATGTGTTCATGACTGCAATGCTCTCTACATGGACCTACCCTTGAAGAGAGTCTGGGGTCTTCAGATGATGCAATGTGTGTCAGCTAGAGAGCTCTATTCGGGTGCACAACGTTGTGATCATATTGCAAGTCCTGCAGCTGGTTGCTTACTGAGCCCAGCTCATAGGGGCTCAAGTTGTTGGTTTTAATCTTTAAATCCTTAAACCAGTGGTTCCCCACCTTGGGTCCCCAGGTGTTCTTCGACTAAAACTCCCACGAACAACTAGCTGTGCTGGGCAGGATTTCTGGGAGTTACAATCCAAGAATATCTGGGGTCCCAAGGTTGGGAACCACATCCCTAAACAGCCTAGGGCCTGACTATCTAAGGGACCACCTGGCTTATTATGAACTTGTCCAGTAATTAAGATCTTCAAGAGAGCCGCTCTTAAAGATTCAAAGGCCTGCCTAACAAAGCAGGTAGGACACGGCAGGGCCTTCTCCTGTGTGACGTTAAAAATGCACACCCTTCAAAGTTATGATGAGTTTCCACTCTTAAGTGATTTTGAGAAGGGCTTAAAAGCAGACCTTTTCAGACTGCCGTTCAAGGTTTAACCTGCTGTGTTTTTAACTGTATCCCTTTGCCGAGTTTAATGGTTTTAATGCATTTTGTTGACTTTAATATTTTTATGGCGGGATTGTTTTTTCTTGATTTCATAGTTTTATGGTTAAATTTGGTTTTACTGATTTTTTAATCATTGTGATCATTGTAAGCTGCCATGGGCATTACTTTCTAGTGACAGTGTGCAGTGGAAATATAAGAAATGAATAAATAGAAAAAATATGTATGTGAACAGACACATAAGTAAAATAAGAAATCAAGATCCTTGACGAAACCCGCTGCATACTGCTATTATTTCCATTCCACCCTCTCCTTCATCTCTGCATTGATAATGTCAGCCCGAGAAAAGCCACAGAACAAAACAGAGTGCTGCTGACATATTGCCCCATAGCACTTACAGCACTCTCTGGGCAGTTTATAGCTTAATTATTCAGGCTGCATTTTGCCTCCTGCCCCTATGAGCTGGGTACCCATTTTACTGACCTTGGATGGATGAAAGGCTTGAGCTGGCTACCTGAAATTGTTGAATTCAAGTCATGGGCAGAGTTTTGACTGCACCACTGCACTATGAGTAGGGATGTGGTGGCACTGTGGGTTAAACCACAGAAGCCTCTGTGCTGCAAGGACAGAAGACCTGCAGTCATAAAATCGAATCCACGCGACGGAATGAGCTCCCGTCGCTTGTCCCAGCTCCC